TTTATTGCTGTGTAGTATTCCATTCCACTGTATGGACAGACCATAATTTGTTTATGTCTTCATCTGTTGATAGACATTTGGGTTGTTTCCTAATTATCCTTATTCAATATGTCATGTGCTCTGATGTTTTCTATTCCTTTTCATTTTTAAAACATTGCTAGTCATGACCTGCTAAATTGATTTCACAACCCGTAATGAAGTGACTCTCAGTTTGAAAAACACTAGTATAGATGTTAAGTGAAATAATGGAGGAAGAGGGTGTGTAGAAAAAGAAAAAACAAGGGCTTTAGGGCCGAGCACTGAATAAACCCAACAATTATACATCAGATAGAGGAAGAAGGAACCCCAACAGAGATTGAGAAGGGGCAGGCAGAGAGAGAAAAGGACAACCAAGAGATTTGATATCTTGGGAAGTAAGGAAAGTCTCAGTTTTAAAAAGCAGTGATTATCTGGATCCACTGCAGCTGAGATGTCAGGTAAAATGGAGCAAGACGATTTTAGTGAGATTGGTTTGGGTGGAGGGAAGGCAGCTGAAGCTGGATTGAAATGAGTTGGTGCTTGTGTGATGAATATTGAGATCACTGGAAGAAGATGTTGATGTGGTCCATGGAGGAGTTTTCGTTAGCTTGTTTTTTGACGTAAAAACCATAAGAATGTTTAAAGAACACTAAAACGTAAGTACAACCTGAATTTTATGAATGAGTAAACTAAAACAGCATGAGGTTAAGCAACTTGCCCAAGTAGCTTTCACTTAACACAGCTTTAAGAGCCCAGATTTATTTGTTCTAGAATTCCTGGTGCTATACTACCAACCAGGAAAAAGATGGCCCCTGCATAATCCAATACTTATGCCTTTGATTTAAAAGTTTATAGTTGAAAGGATACTTTTATAATCTTTTGTAGGCTTCTGGGGAGGAAAACACAATTATTCATTATTTGAGATTTGTAAATAATAAGAAATTCATCTATGTTTACATCAGGTAAGGCTCCTGTCCATAGGACATTTCTATGAAGGAAAATCACTAAGCATTTGAAATATCAACATTAGGATCTTCTAAAACTACATGGAAAACCCACATTGATGGATGTTCTGCAAACAATTTGGCCTGTACTCTTACCTACTGGGAAACACAAAGACTGAGGAACTATTCCAGAACATGCTATTTTTTCTTTACCAAGACAGTTGTCAAAATCCGAATAGACTCTATTGATTAGAAAAGAGTATTAACGTTAATTTCCTGATTTTATTGATTGTACTGTGGTTGTGAAGAAGAATGTCCTTCTTTGAGGGAAAATATACTTTAAGTTATTTACAGACAAAAGGACATCATATCTGCAACTGACTAAGAAATGATTCAGAAAAAACATACGCGTGTGTGTATTCCTAGAGAGAGAGAGAGGGAAATAAACCAAGTGTGGTAAAATGTTAACATTCGGGGAATTGGGGTGAAGAGTTTAAAGAATTCTTTGTGCTCTTCTTGCAACTTTCCTACAAGTCTGAAATAATGTCAAAATAAAAATAACAGGGCGACATGAAATCATATCTTGGAATTACACTCTTGGAAACCCACCTCGGATATAAAAATGTATATGGTATAAGAAAATTCACAGCTCTTCTCATTAAGGTCAGAATTAATGTAAATTAAAGAATATTAGTGCCTGCTAACAACACACAAAGAGAGAAAAACAGGCATTATGTGCCTCTTGATGAAGAGTACAATACTATCTCTGAATATGTCCCCAGAACTTCAAACCTGGCTCTGATTAAGCCTAAATCCAACTATCAATTAGCAGGAAATACAGAGAACAGAGGAAAATCCAGACTAAGAGAAATTCTAGAACAACAATCTGGTGTCTTCAACAAATCAACTGTAAAGGAAAAAAATATATAGGAAAGCCAATAGGTTAAAAGAAACCAAAAAGATAGATATATATCTTATATATATATTATAAATATATATATTTATATATAAATAATATATACTTATAAATATATATATTTTTTAAGATGAAGCTAAACTACAGTACGTAGGGATGCATGTTTGGGTGATAAAGCTACTAAGAAAATATTAGGACATAATTACCGTAAAAATCAGAAAGTGGTTATTTTTTCTCGGGGGCGGGGGAGCTGGGATTGTTTTGGGGAGGGGCTCCTGGAGGGCTTATGGGGTGTCTGAGAAGGTTCAATGACAATTCATTTCTTTTACGCTGTTTTCCCTATTTTAACAATAAAACGATTTGTTTTGGTTTTTTTAAAACTGTTAGTGAACTTGGTGTAACTAATGCAGCAAGAAACGGTACAAATGGTCTCAGGGTTGCCACCTAAAGTCACCTTTAGGGATTGCAGACTTTTCTCTTAAATTGCTTGGTAAGGTTTAAATAATGAATGAAATCTATTTTCTACAGGCAATTTACTTAAAAAATTTTTTAATTCGTAAGAGAACTGCATGCAAATGATAAAAATTCAAATAGTGCAGAAGAATATAAAATGGAATATTGCCATTTTCCCCCCATCTCCATTCCCCAGTCCCACTTCATAGAAGCTTTCATCTTCTACTTTGTAAAAAACTCCTTGTATCTGTTTCTTAATCTAGAATCTATTGACTCCCTACCATAAAAATGAGAAATTTATTGCTGTTTGCACTCTCTTTCCTATCCTCTCTGGCTCCTGATTTTTGTTACCTAATTTTATTTCTTCCAGAGGTTTCCTTTATGTCTTTAAGTATTATACTTAATACTCTGTATCTTGATTTAGCCCTTTTAGAGAGTATCTACTTACTCCCTGGAATGAAGTTGAGGACATTAGCGATGCCACTTACATTCCTATTCACTTCACCTCTTCTCTCCCACTTTTTGGTAATTTATTATTTTTACATTGCCGTGGTGAATAATAAATCTTACATATGTGTCACTCAGTTGATTCTAAAAGTTAAGGACTATAAAACAGCTATGGTTATATAAATGCTATTGGTTATGTAAATACTACTCAGGACACAACAAAAATCACGTGAATGGACCCAAAGGGAAAAATAACCGTAAACTTCCTTTACTTGGTTTGCTTTTTGCCTATTAATCAAGAAAGGTCTGTATCAGCACATATAAGCCAAACGTCAGCAGAGATTAAACTTCTCTACAATGAGTGGTTTCATGCTCTAGCTTCCTACAATACTTTTCTCATATCTCTGTACTAGCCCATAGAATGCTGTGTTGTAATTTATCAGTTTACATATCTGGCCATCTGCAAGCCAAACTGTTTTAACTTTTTTTTTTACTGTGGTTGTGTGTGTCACAGACTTGAGTATAAAATGAAAGTTATGGATATTTTCCCCAGAAAAATGCACTCACACACAAAATTTGGGGTATAGTTTCAGAAGTTTCACAGACCTTCCCTGGGTCCACCCACAAGTAGAACCCTCTGCCCTAAACAATGTTTCCTTAAGGGCTGGGATCTTGTCTTTATTTTTTGTACGTATTTCTAGCACCTATCTGTCCAAGTCAGCAGTCAGTAAATATTTGGGTACATATGAAACGAACCAATTATTCTCACTTTTTCTTGTTGGGTTTTAAAGTCTCCTTTTAAAATAGAAAAGGTTAGTTTCACCTCTCTAGTATTTGTTTTGTAGAATCTACTTCGTAATGCAATCTACAGATACTTGGAGGTAGCTTTAAAAATTACTAGTTTTTAATGATACCCACGCTGAGCTGTTCAGGAATGAAATGTATGCAACTTTGAAATGTATCAAAACATAAGATGTATGGATGGAGAGATAGACTGATACTTACTCTAATGAAGCAAATATGGGGAAATGTTCATTGCAGAATCTAGACAGTGGGCACATGGGTCTTCACTGTACAATTCTTTCAACTTTTCTAAATATTTGAAAATTTCATAATAACATGTTGGAAAAAGTGACTTGTTTTGCTCAACCAGAGCTACATTCAATTTTTAGATCTTGGAGGACATAAATCTATCATTTTTTCTGTTTGCAGAGCTCTTTGGACAATCTGAGTAATTCCCAGGGTACACTCTAAACCAGCACAGAAGGCTTCTTTTGTTAGAAAATCATTTTATTAACATAACTGGGCAATTTACTAAACACAAGTTAGATAGCTCAAAATACGTATCACCACACTGAAAATGTCACCCAGTCATTTACAGATTTCAGAAGAGATGCGCACAAAACAAGAAAGAAAAAGAATGACTTTGTGGTTGTAACGTCATCGGTCTTCTAGCGGTGACCTGTTTTACTGACTGCAACCGTGGTAGACTAGTCTATTTCAGTTTCCCTCATTTAGAGGAATATAGTGGCATATTTATGCCCTCTCCCATTCCTTAGAAACCTATTATGATTATACAGCAGGGGTGGAAGCGGCTATGTGGCAGTATGTTTAGTGTACAGGCGCCGCAGCCAGGGTGCTTGGGTCTGGAGCTTACCTAGATTGGCACTGTGAAATGGAGATAATAATGATCTCTACATCACAGGGCTGTTGTACTACAAAATATTATTATTATTATTATTACTATTATTATCACCTGACAAGTCATAACTGTGGCTTGACACGAAGAAGGAGGCTGGGCCAGTTGACTCAAAGTCTTTTCCGTCTAGAATTCTGCAGTAAGGACTGAGACAAATACCTTAGCTCTGATCAGCGTCTTTTCAGAGCACCGTCACTTGGGAGACCAACACCTGAAACCGGCAAACCCTCGAGCACCTAGGGAACTATCGATCCTGCGCATGCGCAGGGGAGCTCGCTCGCCCCGCCTCTCGCGGTGAATGAACTGTTCCATTCCTGAGGGATGTTGATAGTGGGGGGAACTTAGAAGCTTAGGCCTGGAAATGGCGCGTTACTAGTATTTCCAGCCTTTCATTGCATGAGTGCTAAGTTGTTATTATTATATTTCTACCCTGACGCCTGCGACCGGCTTCTGAAAAGAAGGTGGAAAGGCTCCACTGTCTATCCCCCCTCTCACCTGGGACCATTAGGACTGGCCGGCGTCACGGCCAGGTACGGAAGCCTGGAGGCCCCGCCCGCTCCGAGGGCCCCGCCCCCGCCTCCCGGAGACCCGCAGATTGCCCACCCCGCGGCAGCGCCGGGCAGCTCCTCCTCGTCTCCGCCCCGCGGTCCGCGGGCGCGGGGCACGTCAGCGCTGCCAGCGTGGAAATCGCGGCGGGGCGCGGGAGGCGGAAGTAGCGCCCGGGGCCGCTGGACCTCCGTCGGGCTCCGCCGGCCGCCTCAGCCATGGACGCGTCCCTGGAGAAGGTCCGTACCGGGGTGGGGGACGGCGCCGCCGCCTCCGGGGCGACTGTTTCCCGGTCGCGAGCTGCCATTGTGACCGGGGAGAGGGCCGGGCGCTAACGGGCCCCGCCTGAGGAGGCCTGGCCGCGAGGGCGTCCGGCCCGGCGCTCCGCGGCGGGGCCTGGTCAGGTCGTGGGGCCGGGAGCCTCGGGTCCCCGTGGGCCGGGAGAGGCTGGGCCGGGTTCTGGCCGGGGCCCACCTCGGGGCCTGCCTGAGCTCGGCTCCCCCTTTCGGATGACTGAGCTAACAACCTGCGGCCCCAGAAGCGCCTGGAAAGGAGCCCCAGTTGTTTCGGAGCCAACTGCAAACCTGTAGGTTTTCCGTGGTCTGCGAGTGAGGAAGAGCAATGTTAAAGCAGTGGTTTTCCAACTTCGGCGTGCCTGGGGATCATGGGGCCGTGGGTAAAAATCCAGATTTTCAGTCCTTGGGTCCGAACCCCTGGGGGGCGGGACCGGGATCTGCGCGTTTAACCAGTTCCCTACGTTGACTCTGATGCTGTAGTTTGTGATCCCAGGTTAAGACTCCTGAGGTCCAGAAGGGGGCGGGTCTTCAGTGGACGGTGAATTTCGTTTTGGGGGTTGCTGCTGCTCCACAACTTCCTGGCTCCCCCTTTGCGGTTGCGAGGGGAGACCCTCGTGTCGTTCCGAAATCCACCCGGAGCAGCGCTTTCCTCTGGTTACCCCCTGGGGGAACAGCAGCCTGATGTGCCTGGCAGGCTGCTCTGGCGTGTGAAATGGATTCTAATTGTCCCAGATTTGGGGCTTGTGAATGAGAACCAGTGCTTGGATTTCTTCCTGGATGCCTCCCTTGGGAACCTGACATTCTGCCTTGCCTCAAAGTCCTTGTCCCTGTTCAAGCTGGGGAGTTTGCTGGTCTAGACCTGGTTGTTCATACGTGTAGAATTCAGGAGCAATGCTAGTGTTTTAAGACTGCTTTATTTGCATTTTGAACTGGCAGAAATAACCTATTTGTCGTTTTTCAATGCTGCAGCTTTTGTGGATTTGTCCGCTTGTCGCTGGAGAGTTGAAGGGAGTTATTGTACAAGTTCAGCCAGATGTCTTCGTGTGCACACAGTGGTATAGCCCACCCCTTGGCTGTGTCTCATACATGGTGGAAAGCAGTCAAGAAAAGACAATAATCTGTTTTTTTTCCACTGCTGCTGTGGTGAATGTTGCTTGTTTTTCTGGCTAGGAATAAAGTCTTTCCAGGCCTTTGATTAGCACAATGTCTACTTTTTTGGTACTTTGAGTTTCAATCTAGATCAGTGTTTCTCAACCATGGGGCAGTTTTGTTCCCCAGGGGACATTTGGCGACATCTGGAGACATTTTTGATTGTCACAATTACTACCCACTCTACCTAGTGGGTAGAGGCCAGGGATGCTGCTAAGCATCCTACAGTGCACAGGACAGCCCCCATGCCAGAGATTTATCTGCCCCAAATGTCAGTAGTGCTGAGGTCTAGAGCATATGTGTAACGCCGGTAGTTGAATACAAAGTGATGCTAAAAATGTCCCTTCAGTGTTGTTTCCTTTCCAGTTTCGTAAGAAGATGGGATGGGTTTTGTGTCATTTCAGTTAGAAACTTAAAGAACTGGGGTGTTTTTTCCTCCAAGAATAGTCCTTTCTAGGCAAATCTGTAAAACAGAGTGGGTTGGAATCCTTCTTTAAATATTACTTTTCTGACATTTGATTAATAGATTACAGTGGTTGCTCCCTAAATGTTAATTGATGATGAAAGATCTTAAACGTTCCAAATGAAGAGCTGAAGAGGTCCTGGAACTTCAGAGTGCCTTAGGCTGGAGCATTCACAAAAAATTACCGTGATCTTTTAGGAATTCAGAACATGTGGGCTGGAAATTTCTGCCTTAGGCCAGTGTGAAAATTCTGAATGTAAGTTTTTCAGAACTGAGATTGTGTCTTATTTTTATATTCCCTGAAGGAATAGAGGGCCTTACATGTCATAATGAACAGTTTCTCTTGGTACTAAGTGGGCAGAAAAGAAAAAGCATTACTATCATATGAATGTTGAGGATTTTGTGTTCTGAAAAATAGTTTGAATCAAAGTAAAACATTGAATTGCGTCCATTATTCCTGTTTCTTTGAGGAATAGACTATTCTGGGCTAAGTTCTACATTGCTAATATAAATTTGAGAACTATTTGAGCAGTTCTGAATGATCCCATTTAAACTGATCCTTGCATAATTTATACTGGCTACAGAAACCACAATGTTATATGATACCCACCCTCTTAAATGTCAAGTAATGGTCTCTCACTCTAAAATGCCGTTTGCTGTCAGCATTTAGTAGACTCACTCGGTACATTTCCTTTGGTCCAAATATAATTCTGTACCCTTGCTTTTTCTTTAGGTGAGATGTAGACGTGCAGACCTGCAATGACAGAGGCATTTTCTTGTTTTGATTTGCTTTTCTTTCACAGTAGTATCTGTTTTCTTGAATTTGAAATTAATGATGTCTCAGGAAATCAGACATCAGACAGGTCAATTGAAGGGGCAAGGAATTCAAACTAGAAGAGTGGGAATAGGAGCCTCAGCCCCCAGTACTGCATGTCCAGCTCAGTAGGAACAAGCCCTGTAGCATCATCTCACAGTGTTTACTTATGTTAATATTCAAAGTAAAAAATGCCACAGGAAATAATTACTCTGATGCTGAAGATCTTGATAAGTTATTCAACACATCTCCATACACTTTTTAGTAAAAACCTGCTACTTCAGGGGGCTGGCCTGGTGGCGCAGGGGTTAAGTTCATGAGCTCTGCTTTGGTTTACGGGTTCGGATCCTGGGCACGGACCTACACACTGCTTGTCAAGCCTTGCTAAGGTGGTGTCCCACGTGGAGCAACTAGAAGGATGTACAGCTATGACATACAACTGTCTACTGGGGCTTTGGGGAGAAAAAAGGATAAAAGGAGGAAGATTGGCAAGAGATGTTAGCTCAGCACCAATCTTCCTCAAAAAAAAAAAAAAAACCTGCTACTTTAAACTTGTTGACCAGCCCAGATGTTTTCCTGTTGCTTGGAAAACCTCATTCTTCCTGGGTGTTAAGTTTAAACAAGGTGTATTGCAGTTTGTTTTACATCTGCTTTAATTCCAACCTTGGGTAAACTTAGAGCAGGGTGTCTCAAGCTCAGCACTACTGACATGTGGGGCTGGATCATTCTCTGTCGCAGGGCTGTCCTGTGCATGGCAGGATGTTTAGCAGCATCCCTGGCCTCTACCCACTAGATGCCAGTAGCACTCCTTCCCCGGTGTGACAACCAGAAACGTCTCCAGGTGAAGCAGCTGTTCCCTGGAGTCAGGCGGGGATCGTCTCTGGTTGAGAACCACGGATAGAGAATCTAGAGCTGCACTGTCCAATATGGTAGCCACTAGCCACATTTGGCCATTGAAATTTAGATTAATTAAAATTAAATAAAATTTAAAATTCAGTTCCTCAGTCACACTAGCCACATTGCAAGTGCTCAATAGTCACAATGTGTCTTGTGCCTACAGTACTGCACAGGGCAGATATAGAACATTTCCATCACCATAGAAAGTTCTACTGGACAGCACTATAGAGTGGAGCCAATCGATTTGTTGTATATCTAATTCTTGTTTCTAAAAGAGGCAACTTTCACCTGGTTTCTGACCTAAATAATATAACCCAGCCTATTTTTGTTTCTTGTACTCATCCTGAGCTAAGTTCTCCCCCACCCTTTGGACCTGATTTTGGAAAATTGTTTATCGCTTTACTGTTTGTAAGTTTATGAGGAGCAGTAGGAGCATGTATGGAACAGTCCTGATCATTACTGATAAGGACACCAGAATTTCTGTTGCTGCTTTTTACTTTAAAAGCTCACAAACAGAACCCCTATTAGCCAAGCTTGAAATGACCAGTTTTTGTGGTATGCCTTTGTAGATCCCACTCTCACATAGATTATGGGGACTCCTGTGCAGAAATGATAGCCTGTAATTTTAGCGTTCATTTAAAGCCGATCCCTATATCATCATAATGTGAGGGTTTTGCATACAGGTGCATGGTGGCTAAGGTGGTAAATGATTATATCAAATGCTGGGTGTCAGGGAAAACATGGTACAAAGTTCCTGATCCTAAAAATTTATGGCCTCAGTGATTCTTGATTTATTTGACATTACAGAGCTGGTCAGTAGCAGAGCTATTGATGGTCCCCAGGACCATGTGTGTTCCACTATATCTAGGATTATGAGTTATAGTTACAGACAAGAGTTGCTTGAGCTTAATGTCATCTGTTTTCACTTAAAGCAGAAACGTGGTTTGATTTATAATTTTTATTGAAGGCCAGCTATGGTCAAAGCCGAGTGCTGTGTGCTGAGAGAGATGCAGGGATCAGACGTGATCCCTGCAGGAGGGTATGGTCTGGTAAGCAGCATACATGTTCAGACAAATCCTTTCATGGCAAGGAGGGGGAAACAGGATTACAGGAACTAAGAAACAGGCGGGAAGTGCATGGAGTGAGTGACCAGGAAAGATTTTGAGGAAGAGCTTCTTTAGGTAGAATATTATTCAGAATCATGGCTTTTCTAGAGTTTTTTAGAATGTAAATATAATGTAGATTTTTACTTTATGATATGATTGTGCCTTATATTGTTGCTAGTAGAACATAAATTAAGGGAAAGGAAAGCCATTTCATCTTTTGAAGTTAAATCAGATATAAAAAAGATACCTCCAGTCACTTTGAAAATGTCCAACAATTCCTTTCAGAAATTTAATTTATCTAGCTTAAATTAAATCCATTCTTTCCAAGCAGTATTCAAGGGCCATAAAATTATTTCCAATTCAATTTTTTTGTTTATTTAGTTTCTGTTATTATTGCAATCATTTTTTGCTTTGTGGCAAATGTTAAGTATTTAGCTGCCTTAAGGTTAGATAGTCCTTGAGGTCTAGCCTGGGGCCCTATCCACATTTTATTTCTGTGGAAAATGCATTCTGA